TATGACTAGTTACACTAGTATTACCCAGATCTATGTAGTATGACTAGTTAAACTAGTATTACCCAGATATATGTAGTATGACTAGTTACACTAGTATTACTACAAATGTAGTAGAACTAGTAAAACCAGTATTACTGATAGAGTTTTTGTACTGTTTTGGCAGGATACAATGAGGGAGAACGTGTTCTTGGCAGGATACAATGAGGGAGAACGTGTTCATATATTTCAAATGCCAAGGTCGCATGTATAGCTTGATGATGAAGACATCCTCAAAATCGAATGTTCGAAATGACTGGAGAAGATGCTACGTCCGTAGAACCATTTGGGAGAAAATTTCGATTTTTTAATCCATTTGGGAGAAAATTTCGATTTTTTAATTTATTCCACATGGTCTTCTACTTCTTATCTAGCATTGTTATTGGGCACACACAGATTGGAGAAGATGCTACGTCCATGGAGTCATATTTTCTGAGAGCATTGTATGATATGAACTATTTTGGGTTGTAATGTTTCTAATCTGTGTTCATTGTTTACATCCCACATGAAATTGATAGTATCATGGTAGCTGGAGGTGAAGAAGAATATACCTTCTCTATTATATCTTTGTCTTATAGTTGTTGTTTAGATTTGTACAATTGGTAATACTAGGTAAAACTATGTTGGTTTTGTTTTTTTTTTTTATTTATACTACTGGTATTACTAGGTAAAACTATGTGCACCGTCAAATTTACACATGTGCGAATCAAATTTACACATGTGCGCCGTCAAATTTGGGGGAAAACCTAAAAAAATGGGATCAAATTCTCAGGGGCTCTCCAGTCTAATCGGATCATCAATTATCCGAACTCACACTTTAGACAACTAATAGAACTTGGTATAACTATATTGTTTTTGTAACTTAGAAATTTGGCATAACTACGTCAGTTTATTAAACTTAGTACAACTTGGTTAATATAGTTATTTGAAATTTTTGTATAACTAGGTACAACTTGGTACGTAGTTGTTCTACCCAGATTTTGTTCTCTCTCATCCTTTTTCTCTTTCTATAGTAGAGAATAAAAAAATTGAAAATTTTCAAAATTTTAAAACCGTAAAAAACGTGGGTCAAACTGCTCTCGGTCAAACTACGCCGTCATAAATTGCAAGTGGGCCCCGCAAAGCAAGTACATCTGCCAGGTGGCACTGCAAAAATGAACATAGTTATTCCTAGTTTTCAAGTTGTACTCGCATATACACAGTTGTACTTTTTGAGATGTTTTGAATAATTAGTTATACTTGGATTGAAACTAAATTTTTTTAGTTATACCCATGATTTTAGTTATTTGAGGTACATTTCCTATGTTTTCATGCAAAAATATCTGTCAAAACGTTATTTTTGTGTGTTTTGCAATGCAATGGGGATAACAGTAACAAAGTCATCTTTAAAGTATAAGGTCTTTCTTATACAAAAATGAGTTTAATGGAAACTATCTTATAAATTTTATTAAACTAATGTTATTTAAGAAGATTTGTTAAATTATTGGTTAAATTTCTAAAGTGCATATGAAGATTTTATAAATGGTCTAACTAATTTATTAAACAATTTGTACAAAAATGAGTTTAATGGAAACTATCCTATAAATTTTGTTTAACTAATGTTATTTAAGAAGATTTGTTAAACATTGGTTAAATTTCTAAAGTGCATATGAAGATTTTATAATTTATCTAACTAATTTATTAAATTACATATAAAGATTTGTTAAATTGGTCGTAGTTGTACCATTAAGAAACCAAGTTTTACCAAGTTATACAAATATAGAGTATCAAACATTAAATACAGACACAAATACACAAATACGGACTGATATGGAATGTTATGATTGGTCGGAACAGTCAATTTTCATTGTTCAAAATAATAGCTTCTTATTGGTCAAATTATTTTTGTTATTTATTATTAAATTTGATTTTAGAAGGGTAAAATAGAGTTTTTGTATTTCATTAAGAGTAGGAGAGTATGTGAGATTTTTGGAGAGTAAATAGATTGATAAGTGAGGAGTAAGGAGCTCCTCAGATTTGGACCCAAAAAAATGGGAGAATTTCAATTTTAGGACACGTGGGCCCCATCTTATCCACGTGTGCGCCATTTTTTTCCACCAGTGCGCAGCATTTTTTAAACATAGTTGTACCCTAGTTATTGGTTGTATAAATTTTCTACATAGTTGTATTTTTGGTGTTTTTCAGTTTAACCAGTATTACATATTCTTAAAAATTGCTTATTTAGTTGTACACTTGAATGAACTCTATAATTATAGAATTCTTAATGTTTTTTGTAATCATACGTTAAAAATATATAAAATTGTAAATTTTCCATCCTAAGTTGGTGCTTTTATAAAAAGTGAACTTAAAAGTATAAGGATTATGTTGTATGGAGTCTATTAAAACAATCCAATATGATATAATTTTTTTTTCTCACTTAATTTATTTATATCATTTATAAGAGTTCATTATTACTTAATAGTCAGTGTAATATTTAATGTTGGAAAAAATAAATTTGAAATTCAAATTCCTTCATAAGTTATACCAGTTTTACTAGTATTACCAAATCTCGTTATTAGTACTACCTTTTATACTAGTTTTACCCATTTGCCATAGAAAAAAAATATAGTATTACATCATAAAAAACTAGTGTTACATAGTTGTCTAAGTCGAAATTGTTTTACAAATCATAAAGTGCAGATAAAATCAAATCTTATGATTGCCAAATAACAACCACAAACAAAACAAAACATAATCTCTACTCTCCACAGTTGCTCGGACAATTCTGGTGGAGTGATGACCTCCACATACAAAACATATCTACGGACTACGGTTATTTTCACCTAAAACTAAATAGACACCAACATCCTCATCATCACAAATGTAAATCTCTTCCTCTGGTCCCAACACCACTGCATTGTACCTCATTTGCAATTTAACCTTACTTTTATCTAACACTAGCTTCGTGCATATCCTACCTTCTAACATGGAGAGAGTTATCTTCTCCCCTGATGTCTTCATCATCAAGCTATACATGCGACTTTCGCATTTAAAATATATGATCACGTTCTCCCTCATTGTATCCTGCCAAAACAATACAAAAACTCTGCGAGTTATACTAGTTGTACTACAATTCTGGGTAATACTAGTAAAACTAGTAATACTACATATATTTGGATAATACTAGTGTAACTAGTAATACAACATATATCTGGGTAATACTAGTGTAACTAGTAATACTACATGTATATTGGTAATACTAGTGTAACTAGTCATACTACATACATCTGGGTAATACTAAGTGTAACTAGTAATACTACATATATATTTTTCAATAGATTCAGGTTCAGTTCTACCCAGTTCTACCAGTTGTACTTTCGCGTCAAGAACTCAAATCGAATGGTTTCGGGTTCTAAACTACAATTCACTATGATTAAGTTGCTGCAATCCATTTCTTACCCATTTACAGACCTATTCGACCCAGAAACTATGCATAAACTTCCAATGTGCATACCAAACAATTAGCTAAATCCAATTGGATTCAATCTCCTTAATTGTAAATGGTTTTGATTCAATTTCAAGCTCAAAGGAGCTCGAGAAACATACATGTCCTTTCTATCTCGACCCAGCTCGCCGGAGGAGAGGATACGGCAACAATGGCGACTGCAAATCGAATCTGTGGCAACAATGGCGGAAGAGGAGCACGACGAGAGCGAGAGCTCGTTTTTGTTTTTTTTTTTTCCAATTTTCGTTTTTTTTTTAAATTTTAGTAATTAATTAATTATTCTGAAAATAAAGGAAGGGTATAATGGGCAACACACATTTCATTAATAGAGAAGGGGATATGTAGATAAATAAAGGATATAAGAGGTTAGTTGCTTTCAAAAAGGGACTTGAGAGACATTTTCTCACTTGACGTTCTATAAAGCACATTATGATATTTATATATGCAATAAACGGGAAAAATCATCTATTCTTCGATTTTGCAGGTTTTACAATTTCAGTAGCTGTGATTGTTCGTTGAATTTTGACATTATAATAGTACTCGAGAAGATTTTTATATCTTGTATTGAATTAAATGGATTATTGAAATTTAGAGTAAACGGCAACTTCGATTCAATTATTGTTTAAATTAATTTTATAATTTCTAAAACATATACCAATTGTTTTACCCATTTTAACACTTACTATTCCCATCGAGTTCACTGTATGCCAATATATACAATTTATTTTGGAGAACAATTCATAGAATCTTATACTTCGTATCCGTAGATAATGTGGTATATATGAAAAGAAAATATTTAGACATGAAATCACTTGAGGTTCTACATTTGGTGAAACGAAGAGTAATCTTGGTAGTTAGTTCAAATAAAGATTACTAATGAAAATTAAGGGTTAGTGGAAACTAATTATCAAAATCGAGTGAGAACTGGATCATATGAGCCAAATATTTTAGGATAACAATGTTTCGTGGATGGTTCTTTAAAAGAAAGTGACAATTTCTCAGGAACATAATAGTAAGTGTTCGCGACCAAATGATGTCGTGCCAACCTCTGATGCAACCTAACGTGTTTACATACAGACAAGCGAGAAGTAACATTTCTTACGGACTGCTCGAACTTGGTAAAGATAGTGTCTTCCTCTACCCTGTGGCCAGTCTTTTCTACATACTTGGAGAAAATTGAGATCCATGAGAAAGAATTCTCTTCTTTTCTTTATCTTTGGTTTCTCGTCATGCAAATATTAAAACGGATAATCTGACACGAAAAAATCAAACCGAACCACATTATATCAGATATGTAAATAATAGCCCTCAGAATTGGCTCATTTGAGCTACTCGACTAAACACTAGTAAAAAAAATTCGTATAACCATGGTGAAGCCGCGAAGTTTCGTGGCTAATTTCATGACAGCCACGAATTGGCCATAAAAATAAAACGTGGCTGTTTTGTGACTTTTCGGTGGTTTTCTCGTGGCTAAATTAACCAAGGATATAATATGTGGTAAATGTGTGGCTATACATTTTGCCATAAAATTATCTTTTAGGATAAAAACAAGAAGATTTGAGATTTCCCCGTCATATATTCGGAAATTTTCAAAATTGCTCAAATATTATGGCCCCACGGATTAAAAAAAGAAAAAAATATATATTTTTTCTCTTTACGAGAAACCCTTTCTTCTTCTTCATTTATTTGCCTTCTCCAGATCTAAACAATGTTCTTCCCACATCGTTTATTTTTTTCTTTTGCAGATCTGTCCGTCGACCGCCGTCGTTCTCGCCGCAGCTCGCTCGTACACCCAGTTCCATCGAGAAACCCATATTCGTTGTCTTCGTTGTCTCTCTGGTTCTTAGTTTTTTTTTTTTAATGTTCTTCTCCGCAGTTTAGATCTTCTCCATTCAGTTTTTAGTTTTCTTTGTGGCAAGATTTCAACTCTCTTTCTACTCTAAATTTCATCTTTTATCTATTTTTGGGGATAAATCATAGCTTTTGATTGTTTGGATGGTATAAGATTATGAAATTAACTTCGTTATTTATCTATTATTGCAGATCTGGAAGATGAAGAAAAAACTATCTCAAATGTTGGGAGATGAAGCTTCCGCCGTTCCACAGGAGATGAATATCGGAGGCAGCAAGGTTGAGAAATCGAGGAGGGACTACGAAGACGAAGAGGAAACGTAACTTTTTTAATTTCTTAATTTTCTTTTATTGTTATTTTATTTTGTGTAATTAATTAATTTTTAAAGAAAAATTCTTTATTTTTTTTTTATTTAAAATTATATGGGAAGGTCACGGATTAACCACGAAACTTTTTAGTGACTAATAAAATACCACGAAATATTGTGTGGCTGCGTCGTAACTCTACAGCTACGAAAAGCCACGAAAACTAAAAAGCCACGATGCTATAGCCACAAATTTTTTTCGTGACCGTCTGTGGTTTTTACCACATATAGCCACGAAATTTTGGTTGCAGCGCTATTTTTTTACTAGTGAAAGTTGTTGCAAAAAAATATATATACTTACTATTTTATGACATTTCATAATCACTTTTTAACAACGACAATATTTAGGTTTAAAGATTCCTTTTCTAAAATTATAAAATATTAGTAAATGATCCACGCGTTGCGTGGGTTTAGGACTATATTATGTTTTAGCTACGATTTTTTTATATTTTAAGTGTTTACTTCTTTTGTTTTTTAATCACAATTGTAGTCTACAAATATAATATAGTGTTGTCAATGTGTAAATTACATATAAACTTGCATTATGCATGTTATTCAAAGACCCTTTGATTTTAGAGAGACCCTTCTTAGCAACGGCTGGAGCTATCATTAATCTTAGGAAGGAGAAGATCGATCTTAACCTTGGCAAGAATTTCAAAATGACGTTTGACATCAAGGATACTATGAGGAAGCCTACAGTAGAAGGTCAGATCTTCTAGGTTGAGGAAATGGATCACTTAGCTAATGAGTTGCTAGAGGAGCTAGCAGAAGAAGATCACCGTAAGAGTGCTCTGACCAAGAATAATGAAAATGGGTATTCGTATTCGGAGACCTTGGGTTATTAGAAGCTTTTGGACTCACATAGAGCAATTGAGGAACCGAACTTCTTTGAGGATTTGATTGGTTCTACCATAGAAGTAACGGTAGTGAGTAAAGAAAGTTCAACACATGCTTAACCTGCTCACTCGACCAACGTATTCGATACCCTTGTTGAGCTCATCAATCCAACATCAGGTGACTGGTCTGAACTCAAGACACCTAAGGTTGAACTTAAGCCGCTTCCAAAAAGACTAAGGTACGTCTTTCTGGGTGATAACTCTACATATCCTGTCATTTTAAGTGATAAAGTAAACAATGAACAAGTGCATATCCTGTTAACCGAGCTGAAAAGTATAGGAAGGCCATTGGATATTCACTAGTTAATATAAAAGGAATCTCGCCTAGCTTATGCACTCATAGGATTTATCTTGAAAATAAATTTTACTCTAGCATTGAACCTCATAGGATATTGAATCCTAATTTAAAAGAGGTTGTAAAAAAGGAGATACTTAACTATTGGAAGCATGTGTAATTTACCCTATCTCTGATAGCACTTTGGTATCTCTAGTTCATTGTGTTCCTAAGAAAGGAGGTATGACAGTTATTAACAATGATAAAGATGAAATCATACCTACTAGAACCATAATTAGTCATAGAATATGCATTGATTATAGAAAGTTAAATGCTAAATCTAGAAAAAATCATTTCCAAATGCCATTCATTGATCAAATGCTAGAAAGATTAGCTAATCATCCTTACGATTGCTTCTTAGATGGATATAGTGGATTTTTTCAGATACCCATTTCAGCTCTCGGGATCCGGTTGCGGTTCTAATTCTTATATCCAATCATACACACGAGATCTAGTCATATTTGACTCCAAAAACACTAACCAAGCTTCTTATTGCTTCTCAAATCTTTGTGGGTGTGGCTGAAGTCCTATGAGTTTTTTTTTAAAATCTTTTAAAAAGAGAAACAATACTTTAGCTTTCAGGATCCGGTTGCGGTTCTAGTTCTTATACCCAATCATACACACGAGAACTAGTCAAATTTGACTCCAAAAACACTAACCAAGGTTCTTCTTGCTTCTTAAATCTTTGTGCGTGTGGCCGAAGTCCTATGAGTTTTTGGTTTTGGAGCTTCTAAACGGAGAAACACTACTTTAGCTTTCAGGATCCGGTTGCGGTTGTAGTTCTTATACCCAATCATACACCCGAAATCTAGTCATATTTGACTCCAAAAACACTAACCAAGATTCTTCTTGCTTCTCAAATTTTTGTTGGTTGCCGCTCTTGAACCCTCACACATCTGCTCCTCATTTTGGTCGTTGATGACGAATTAGGATCCGGCCATTGATGCTTCCATAGGCTCAGGTGATAACATCGTATTTTCACCCGCTTTCACTATCGTGTTTGTAGTTTTTAATAAGTGTTCAGTACGTGAGTGTTTTTCCACTATTAGTTATTTCAAAACTCTTTCCAAGATATATGAACAAAAAGACGAGAAAGCATGCAAAACAAGTGCATTAGAAAACATGACATCTTTTGTACCTAAGTGATAACATTGTATTTTGACCCGTTTTCTTATGCTTTTAAGAAGTGTTTGACATGGTTTTAGTGATTTTAAAGTTGTTTTCAGGTAGTTTTAGTTTGAAAAGGTCTTTACAGGTTTTTGGGCAAAATTAAGAACCAAAAGAGGAGCAAACCCCGTTTCTGGACAGATTCAGAACATCAGATGTATGGCATCCGTTGAAGGACTTACACTTCACAAAAGTTGATGATATTAGCGTCTTTGGAAAGATAAAAGAGTCACCTTTCAGATGGAAGTGGAATTAGACGAGACCATCAATCCAGTCGAGAGTTATTATCGATATACTGAAGACATGTCTTGCAGGCTCGAAGAAGAAGCAAGCTGAGAATGAAGATCTGAGCAAAGGGGCAAGCCAGCAAAATCATTCTCTTGTTATGTTTGACCAAAACAACGACACTTTACTTATTTCGACTTGGGAAAAGCCCTAAACTGATCTAGAAGACATGGAGCCCTTTTAATACACCTTGAGACGTCCTCGAAGAAGTAAAGATCTGCACAAAACTCGGCCTCTTCGCCGTAAGTTCTCTCTTGCACCATCTCCATAGATATGAACATATTCTTTCATAGTTTTCGTTGTTCTGCATTCTATTGCTTCAAGGGAGACGAATCCTTTTTGTATCTCATAGATGAGTATTCTGAACCATATCACTTCTCTATTTATGTTTATTATTTCGTTTTCCCTTTACTTTTATCTCTTCTTATTCGATTAGTTGCTTTGTTATAGAACTAGGGTTTTCTCGATGGGATTATCGTATTGTTTCGTTTAGTTGTTGGATATAGGATTACTTTCTCTTAGTAATTCTTCTAGACATCTTTTACTTAATGCACCATAGTTAGGTTCTCTACCTAGCTACTGATCTAAGAGAACATGAGCGCTACCCGTGTAAACCTATTGTCGAATCTAGTGTTACCGGAGCCTCGCGTCATAACCTGCGTAAGTTGGGTTATTGAGCATTGTGAACTAATCGAATTCGTTTTACTTGCTGGTCGAGATGCGTCGTTGTCTGCGTAAGTTGAGTAACGGAGTATCGAAACTTAGACATTCATTCTATAAACTATAGGTGGTTTGTTCATTCATGTTTCGTAGTTGAGAATTCGAGTGTAATCGACTAAGATCCTTAATATGCTTGAATGAAACGATCCTTAAACCCTATTCGAACTCTTTGATTTCTAATGTTTGTTTTATTTTATTTTAGTTTTAAAATAGTTTCCAAAACTAACAAACTATATTTTATTCCTAGCCATATTTCTATTCCTAATAGACTTGTCGTGTAACCTCAATCTCTAGGGGATTCGATCCTTAAGTACTACATACTAGTATGATTAGCTGTTCGCTTGCTGGGGACTTATATGCGTTGCTCACAAGTCTACGAGTAGAATATCGTCTAAGACATTTTGTTTTATAATTTTTAATTTTGATATGAAGAATTCTTGTCATCAATGGAGTTTCTAAAAAATAACGAAAAAAGAAAAACCGAAAAAAACAAAGAAAAACCAAAAAGATAGAGACAGTCCGATCAGTCTCGGTGCAGCTGATATAGGAATCGAGGCATTGATATATCATAAAGACAATGAGTGGAAACAATAGCTGTGAGACGTGGCAAGAGATGAGTGGTTGATGGCATTGTTAGAGGAAGAATCGAGAAGCGGAGATATATAGCAAATGATCTTCATTTGCAGGGAATTAACCAGAAAATATCAATTTGTGTAATCTTCTTCTTCTTCTTCAATTCTCTCTGTAAACTCTTAGGGTTTGATATTTCATTGTTGATAGAGCTGTTTCTACTTCTAAGCTCTATCACATGAGATTTCTTTCTCGTTTTATGAACGACGATTGAATTTATGTTGATTTTTAAGTGATAGATTGAAATGTAGTTTCTCTGCATCACTGGTATCAGAGCCATTCTTCCTCGGAATCAATGGCGGAGACAAGATCGCAAGCTCCAATCAAGGAGACGGTGGCTAGAGAAGCGACCGCAGTGGTTTGTGAAATGGTAGCAGATATGTGGTTCCTATCGCGTTCGAGATACGCCGATCCTGAAAGGTTAGAGACAGTTGATTTTCGTCGTTCATAAAACGAGAATCCAAATCTCATGTGATAGAGCTTAGAAGTATAAACAGATCTATCAACAATGAAATATCAAACCCTAAGAGTTTACAGAGAGAATTGAAGAAGAAGAAGAAGATTACACAAATTGATATTTTTTGGTTAATTCCCTGCAAATGAAGATCATTTGCTATATATCTCTGCTTCTCGATTCTTCCTCTAACAATGCCATCAGCCACTCATCTCTTGCCACGTCTCACAGCTATTGTTTCCACTCATCTACAGCCACGTGTCTTTATGATATATCAATGCCTCGATTCCTATATCAAATCCTCCCCCTTTGAAAAAACCTTGTCCTCAAGGTTTAGTTGGAGGAATTTCTTATGCAGATCATAACCTCTGCAGCTCTTTAATGCTATGATGTTCTTTCTAGTTCTTTCACCAACACATCTTGAAGGCCAAAGTTCCCCTGTTGTTTATACTTAAAACTCCAAGTTTTGGGAACTTTTCTCCGTTTCACCGTGACTCTTATCATTGCTTGCCAAACGAAACTGGGACAAAGAGAAAGCAAAAGATGTTTGCTCTGCATCTTGACTCCTCGGATTTGTGCATAAAGACCACATTCTTTGTGACGCCTGAAGTGGCTAGTTCCCGCAGGTTTATAACTCATCCTGAATTTGAA